ATTTCACATTAAAAATACCCTGGTTTTTTACTCAGGCACTACATATGTATATACAGAGGTCAGAGAATCTGCAGTTGTCTGAAAGGATGTGACTTTTTTTGGAAAGTCTTTGAAGAAAAAATTTGTCAGTGTCTTTGATTCTGGTTTTGATTCCTTCTCTTCTTATATCAGTGCTGATATGGCGGTGTTGTCTGAACGGCGCCACGCATCATCGCTCTGTTATGACATTACCGGTGGGTACACTGGGGCCTTAGGACTTCAGTAACATACTCTTAGAGACTGGTTGATGACCTCCTGACAACCACTGGTTACTGAGGAAAAATGTGATGAGGGGCTGTCACTGAAACTGGCCGCAAAGAGGGTGCTGCACCAAAACAGCTCATCGTGATTGCTTTGGCCACTAGCAGAGTGCTGTGGATACCTGTGGTTTGCATGATTACGTCAACTTGTCTGCAGATATTGAGTAACTAACATAAAACAAATCACCTTCAGATTAAAAGTTTGATGTTACACTGACACCAACATGTTTCAAAAGGTCAGTTTTTTACTGTCAGTAGTCTCAGTTTGCCAGGAGGTTGCTGACTGGTCTCCAGACCTGTATGGCTGAGACCACAATGAAAGCAGTTTAGATGGACATGATTTTTATAACATTTTCGCTGCTTTACCTGCGGTCAGACAACATTTTCTATCCCAGTCAAATTAAAGTGTTATACTAGAGACAAAACACAGGAGTTGGTTAATGTTGTTGTGTGGTACCTGAACTGATGGTTTAAAAAAAGGTCACACAGTGATCAGCATCTTTGGTTTTCTCAACAGGAACCATCACCGAACCATTAGTCTGAAAACTCACTGGTCTTGTAGCTCCATTCATCCCATTACAAGATGCTTTACTAGGTTGAAATATTTTAACTGATATAATAAGAGTTGCATGTCTCCTTTCCTTTGTACCATCATCCCTGAAATGTACACATGTAACTGACCATCTGATCAAAATTAACAGGCCATTTTTGCACCACTAATTCTGCATCATGGCTATGACAGTCCTTTGTCTCCTTCACATCCTCCCAGTGGTTTTTAATGTGGAGCACAGGTGAAGTTACTCTATAGATACAAAATGCTTCTTTTTAATCTCATTAGTCTGTTTTATTAAATTTCTACATGTTGTCGGGTGGATTGGAAAAGACAAAAATCAATGCTCTAAATGATTGATTTAGCTCCCGAGTTTATTACCTATGTGTATTGGGTCAAAAATGCTCATAATCAGCACAAATATGAAAACACCCTGAGAGAAGAGCAGACCAAACAGAGCAAATTGCCAGATGACAGCTCACTCCTTCTGTATGTACACATAATCCATATATTGCCATCAGCCAAGAAACCCACGGATGTGAGCTCATTAATTTTCGATGAGTAGAGACATGTTGGCAAATGTGGAACACGGTCACCTTGTTTACCGAGAAGAAAAGTTGGCACTGGCCTAAGTTTTGTGTGACTTCACCCATCAGCGGCTAATCACACAGCAGCTGAACGTACAGTGACGAGAGAGAAAGACGAGCCCTGACCCTCAGACAGACACCCGGACATGCGCCCAGGCCTCAGATGCTGCTAATCTAATCACCTCGTCCACATGGCAGCTCACCTCCGCTCACCTCATCTAGCACTAACATAAACACACACACACGCACACACACTCTCTCCTTTTCTAGGACTTGTTGTGCCCCATCTGGGAGTGGAGCCACCCAGACACCTAGACACAGCTCACTGGAGCAGGGACCAAACCAGCACCTGCTGCCTGGCTGGGATAACCACAAACATACCGCTCTGTCTGTGAGCCTGTTTAGAATGACTCTGCTCCCTCATGAAGTGACCTTCCCATTTTGTTCCCTTCATGTGTCCTTCGTGTGTCCTGTTGGCATCCTCTGCACCATATCCCACATTTCCTGCCTGTTTCATTCACTCGTGATTACTGTCCCCTATTAAATTTTTACTAGTGAAATACAAGTAGAATTATTTCTCCTATTCCTTCATTTTAGGGAATTTCTATTAGCCGGGGGGGGATTATATATCACAATAAATACTGGATTAAAACAGGATTGTGCAAATGGGATTCTTTTTTTATAACATTTGCTTGTGTTGCACTGATTATGAGCATCTGTGGGTACAGCAAAGCGTATAATCTAGTTTCAGTCAGGATATTCTTACTGTGTTTATGTTTGTTTATGCTGATGGTTAAAACAGACCTATTTTTACCTCTCATAGTTTTATTTATGGATCGTTCTGCAGCTTTGCATGCCTTGAACTGACCCTTGACCCACTCAGTCCATCCTCAGTCTGAAAAAAGCTGCTTTAGCTTCTCTTTGTTTAAAGCCACCCTTACCATTTAACTTTCTTCCTATTGGCTGCTCCTTGTGAACCATAGGTTTGAACAGGCTTCCGTGCTCACAGTTATTTAGCAGTGTCAGAAAGGCTCTTAAATATTCAAGATCTCTCACTCTTGAGAGTTTCATAGAGGGCGAACAGGACCTAAAGAGCTTGAGCTCAAAAATGTGAATGTGGCCCTCAGTCAGGCCTAGAGATTGGTTGGCCACATTTTGAAAGAGCTTTGCTCCAGAGAAGATAGTGCTGTTTCTGGACTATTATATGGGTTATTAATTTAGTGGTGGATCTTTAACCTCCATTAGACCTCAAGTTGACAGGAATCCAACGATTATATTGTATACTGTACATAATGCACGAACTTTATTCTATGTGTAGATGCAGGTTTTTGCAGATTTGTGACTCTGTGTCCCTTTTTACTTCTGAGAAACATCTATAAAATGCTCTTTTTATACCCAGTTGTTTTACTTGATTGTTGCCAGTAAACCTAATTAGCTGCAAAACGTTCCTCCCGTTGCTTCCTTTTGGTACTGTTTACTTTTCCAGCCTTTTGTTGCCCTTGTCCCAACTTTTGAGACAAAATTAAAAACTTTGATGGCAGCAGCCATTAAATTTATGAGTTATGTTAATATTTGCACACAATTTTTATTTACATATTACACAGCATTCCCATTTTTTTGGAATTTGATGAAATTATTAAATTAAACTAAGTAATTTTTTATGACAGAAAATAATCCATCCATCCATTCACTTCCGCTTATCCTTTTCAGGGTCGCGGGGGACGCTGGAGCCTATCCCAGCTGTCATAGGGCGAGAGGCGGAGTACACCCTGGACAGGTCGCCAGTCTGTCGCAGGGCCAACACACAGGGACAGACAACCATTCGCACTCACATTCACTCGCACATTCACACCTAGTGGCAATTTGGATTACCCCACAAGCAACAGAAAATAATGAAAGTCATAATATGTCCCCTTCACTAAATAAGTGGATTTCATCTAAACACGGTTGTAAAGGCTGTTTTGTTGCCATAAAAACAAAAACACATGTTACTAATAAGATTCATTAACAGCTAAATGAAATCCAGAAAGCAGTCCCTGCATTATTTACAGCTGTTCTTTTGCTGTATGTTGAAATTTTTTCTGCCAAAAGTGAATGCTGTTTTCTCATCCTGTCCTAAACTAAAGTGAAGCTGCAAAAGTTTGATTTTTACCACAGTTTACAAACACTAACATTAGCAAGCTGCCAGTCAACTGATGGATCTCTCTTTGTGCTTCACTTCGATCCATCAGACAGTTTCAGGGTTATTAAGGCAGTAAAACTTTTGTTAAATTAAAACATGCTTTCTTATTCCCGACCTTAATTTAAGTACTAGAACTGAAAAAAAAAAAAAACAACATGTTTTTTCCTCTCAAGTTGGTAAGGGAGAAAGATGAATAGCATAATTTCTGGTTTTGGGATATTAGAAGGTAATAATATAATGCTGATAAGTTTGTTGCCATTGTTCTTGTGGCCAGTCAGTTATGCTAGAAACAAGAAGAGATCTATCCATCTATCATCCAGTTCCAGGTCAAATACCATCCACAGAAAGTGATTAGCAGTAACGAGGCGACTAGACACCACAAAAAGTCAACCACATTCTGCGATTCCAAGCAACATCGAGCAACATAACAGCTGATAACGTAAAGTGTGCAAATCTTGAGATAAACTTTTTGCAAAGGCGAGGTAAGTTACTGAAGCGACCACCTGTGAGAGTAAAGATCTTGCTGACTGAGATGTGACACAATTGCAAATATATTAGAGGAGTCACCTGGAGACAGGAATGTCTGCTAGCAACCAACCATCGGTGGCAAAGTGATACAAAAAATGCAAATCACTTCCTGTGTAGATGCCACAGTCTCTGCTACGGGGGACACAGAGGACCTCCTAAGCAAGCAGTAGTGTTGGGGAGGTTACTTTTAAAATGTATTCCACTACAGAATACAGAATACATGCCCCAAAATGTATT